CATCATAATTAAGTGATCTTAATCTTGTTGAAGCTCTTACGTTGAGGCATTGTTTTTTGCTATAAGCACATAAGATTTTTCCCTTAAATTAATTTCACAAAAATCCTAATTGTGTTTTAAGTGAATGATTTGGACTCATTTAATTTGGAGCATTATTTATTTTTTGCAAACGTCGAACGCTATCTATAAACCAATCAGAATGAGCCACATCACCCCTTCACTGGAACCGTGGCTCAGCACTGCTCGGTATCGCTCTGTACCACGGCTCGATACCGCAGACATGACTGCACCTGATTCTCCACCGAAAGTAAAGCTGCATCCAGCCTCCACACAGAATAATTTTTCCATTTGGAGAAAGTTCATAAAAGTTTTCATGTTGTTAAGCTCTCTCATCTAAAAATTTGTTTCATCTATCAATTTACTAAAATATATCAAATTTTGAATGGTTTGGATTTAATTATTTAAATTTAAAAGTTTGATCAAAAAAAATTTTTTTTTTAAATGAGATGAGCTTAACAAAAGTTATAAATAGACATTCTTCAAAATTCTCAAACCCAAAAGAAGTTAAAATAAAAAAAGTTATAAATAAATATTTTGATAAAATTTATATCAGAAAGACAAATACATTTTTTTAAAAAAATAAAATTTTAATTAATTTTTTAATTCTCATTTTTAAACATTTTGTTTTCTCATAAAATAAATGAGAAAAGCGGTAACGTGCCCATCTACTCATTTTCCGATATCTACCCTTTCTTTCAATTCAAGCAACCTTTGCTTGCCCTATCGTTGAACGGCAATGGAAGCATACCCGTCGTTTCCATGATGAACGGCCAGATGAAATCCTCATGCAAAAGACGTGTAACATTTACACTTTTGCCGACATGATCTGGCTAGTCTTCCGATAAGAAGACTCTCAACGCAATTTTTTTTTTTTTTTTTAAAGAGCTATTTTTATTTATACTAAAAAATAGACTGCATTTAGTCATTAATATTATTACATTAATTCAATCCATGTATTTAAAATATATAGGCAATTTAATGGATTATGACAAATATTTATATAGATAATTTAGGTTTTCGTTTGGAACTTTTTTTTTGCTTTGTTTTTCAAATTATAATTATAATTTTTATTTGGTGACTTTTTTTTGTTAATTTTGAAATATTTTGACTAAAAAATTTCTTTTTACACCAACTTTAAAATTATAAACAGTTTCAAATGAAGATTTAATGAGATGATAAATAATATTTATCATAATAATGAAAGATATTATTGCAAGAGGTGATATAATTGAAAGTTCAAGAGAAACTTTTAGGTATCATGGGTTTGAATGCATGGATTGTGGATGAATTTTAAATATATTTGATGATTTTATTCTATAAAATATAGTAATAAAATTGAGGACTTAATTAAATTACAAAGGAAACATTATAAGAGTCTTGCAAGCTACAAAAAAGGCATCCACTAATAAAATAGAACTGTATAAAAAAGAAAATGAATTAACTGAAGTTTCGATCACCTTGCTTGACCCATCGCATATTCTGATTAAACTAAATAATGATATTGATTATTGTAGACCAGGGTATTTTGTCATAGATCTAACCCAGTTTTCAACTGTTACATGAAACTCACAAAATGGTCTCCTAGCTTGGATGTTGGTGTTGAGTCGCTTGTCATCCCAATTTGGGTCTCTTTTCCGCAATTACGTCCTCATCTTTATATCCCTCGTATACTTTATGGTTTGGGAGCTATTTTTGGTAAACCTCTGAAAATTGATGTGGCTACTTCTGCGGGATCTCGGCCTTCCATGGCTCATGCGTTGGTGGAGCTTGATATAACTAAATCATATCGAAATAAGGTTTGGTTAGATTCTGAAAGTTTAGGGTATGTACAGGATGTTGTTTTGGATGAAGTTCCCCCCCCGCGGGAGCGCGGGATGGGGGGACCTGGCCGGAACGCGGATGCCGCGGGAGCGGCGGGGCTGTGGCTTCACTGAGCAGTTTTTTTTTTTTAATTTATACCGGCGGTTTAAGACCGTCGGTAAGCCGCCGGACAAAATTGCCGCCGGAAAAAACCGCCGGAATTCATTTTCCTACGCCGTTTTTACCGGCGGTAATTTAACCGCCGGAAAACTACAAAACCGCCTGAAAATGTTCAATTACCGTCGGAAAAGGCCGCCGGAAATGGGTGATTTTCCTGTAGTGTCCTATCTTGTTGGAGAATGCTGTGCAGGTCTCGGGGTATGAAGTTGGTGATTTAGGGGATATTGCTCTTATCAATTCTAGTCTTAATGTAGTTGTTATGTCTCCTGTTGTTTTGCCGTCTGTGAACCATGTTGGTTACCTGGAGAATCATGTGGTTGTGTCTCCCGTCAATCTCTTTGTCTGTTAATTCCTTGGGTAATGTGGTTATTGTTGATGTTGAAGTTGCTATTGTTTCTACTATGTCTGGCCCATTTCATTCTCATGTTGTACCTATTTCTGTTGCTGCGACTTGTTCGGGTAGCTCACCAGTTGGTGTTTGTGGTGCGGTATGGGTGGGGGGTCCTTTGATTGTGGCTCCTAGTAGTGTGGTTTTGTTAGATACTAATTGTTATGGTAATTCTAGAGCTAGTCCCTTACATTTTGATAGTGTGGAGCTACATATACTAACTCTAATTCTTTAGCTGATGGTGGTGATGTGTCCTTGGTTAACTCAGGGGAGGTTGGTGTCGTCCCTATGGTGGACGTGTCTATTACTGTCATTTAGAACACTAATTTACAAGCCCATCTTGTTAGGGACAATGTTCGGTGGCAATGTAATTGGCTTCATGATAATTTGTCGTCTGCTAAAGGGGAGGATACTTTTGATAATTGTTTGGAAAATGGCTCGCCGGATACTATTTTTAGAAATCGTAAAAGGAAATCTAAGAAGAAATGATTCTAGTGCCTATTTTCGTGGTTTGTGGTTTTTGGCTTCTATCTGTTATGGTTGTCGTCGTTGTTTTGGATCTAGACTATGAAGAAACAGTCATTCTGCATGCACCTTTGTGGTCGGGGTTGGGCAACCGTGGTGGTATGGTGTTTGTTGCTTGTTGGTTTGGTTTCTTGGCAAATTTTTTATCCTCACTGGATGGCCCCTCCCTGTCAACTGGGTGTCGGTCTGAGACCGTGTCGATCCATTTTTTACTTTAGTTTTTCGTTGATTGCACCTCCCATGATGTGGCCCTGTGGTGATCTTGCAATGTATCCTTCGTTTTTAATAATAATATTTTCTTTCTGTTACAAAAACAAAAAAATGAATGAACAAACTGCACAAAAATAATAAGAAATCTTAGAGTCAACTTTGTAGCAAAAGCTCTAAATAGCAACAATTAAAAAGTCGAGCCATAAGAGCCTTATCTGATAGGACAGTATAATTGTCTAAGTTGATCCTAAGCTACAACATAACTAAAATTATCACATCAACCATACTTAAAAAAGTAATAAAGCAATCAAGAGGCAAGTACAACCAACCCTAAAAATCATTATAGTCAAGCACCAAAAGTAGGAAAAAAGAAATGTTGAAAAGCATCAAGAAATTCATACCAAATTGGGCAACTTGAAAGAAACTTAGTATCCAATTGTTAAAAGCAATTCCCATCTATACTATAATGTATGAATGATATAAACTTCTTGATATGAGAGAATATCATCCCACCTGTATTGTAACATTTTGGTTTTTATAGAATAATTCACTTTGAATAAGATGATTGCTCTGTTGTTTTTTTTTTTAATCTTCAATATATCATATTATAATTTTCTTTTCAAATATAATATTAGTAGTTTGCTACTTATCTCTATGAGCTCATGTGTTTCTCTTGATAATAACAAATACCATCATGTTTTCTTTTTTTAATGATTTCTAAAGCAATTTTTCAGTATAAATATCTTTTACTAAAAGTAATTTTAAAAAAACAATAAAAAAGTTATTCCGAACAAAACCTTACTCTAACAACTATAAAAATTGACATGAGAAAAACATTCTCAACATATAAGAAAACAAAATTGGCACTTGTATTTAAAATTTTTTATCTCACCAAAATTTTATTGCCTTGACACGACCTGATAACCCAACTTAAACCCGACCTGAAAAATCCGAGTTAGGGTCAACTCAGACCCAAAACTAGTTCGGTTCAGCTTCAGCAAATCGACATGTTTCAAAAATTAGGTCGGGTTCGGGTTGAGACAATAACTCGAAATTGACCCAAAAATTTGTTTTTGACCCGAAAACTCGAGAATGCCCCATTTTTTAACCTGAAAATAGAAGATTTACTCGTTTTTTATCTGAAAACTAGCAATTTTTTGGTCGGTCCTAGATCCTTCGGGTCGTGTCGGGTTAATCTCGACTCGAAGAGGGTCGAATTCGGGTCCAAAAAACCGATCAGTTTGCAAAAATGGGTCGGGTTCATATTGACCAGAATATTATCGGGTCAATTTCGGATTTGACCCCCAAACCCAACCCGTGATCCTAAATTGACACCCCTAACTGCCTTGATTATAAATTTGCTAGAGATTTAATTGTTTTTTTTTATTTTTTTTATTTTGTTGTGGTATATCACTTAAATAATTTCTAGGTCCAGCTGATTATCTCCTTGTCTTTGTAGCCATCTCGTTTTTCAGGCTTTACTTTCCTAAGTCTTTATCTTTTTTACCTGCAGTAAATTGTAATTGAAATAATGCATATTTATAAATTTAGTATATTAAAAAATTATTTATATTGTTACCACAATTTCTAAGGCTAAAACGTGTGAGAAACTTTCAACTCAAGTTACCATAGCTATTTTTATACGACACTGATTTAATTATTACATAAATGCCACCAATGTTCAATATTCCCGCCAAACAGCTTCCCCACAGCACGTTACCATTATCACTTTACTCTGCTGGCACATAATTAATATCAAACATAAGAAAACAACATTAAAATAACGATCTAAAGTATACTTAATAATAAATGACACAATTATTAAATATAAATATAAAATTCAAATCCTATTTTATATAAAAGTACAAATCCTGCTAAGTAAATTTGATTAAAATAACGATCTAAAAAATAAGATTAGCTAAGAATAAAATACAGTAATTACTAATTATAAGCTTGTAATCGAAGAACCCAAGCCCAACCATGGCTGACTGACAACCTTCTCCTTCTCCTTCAAAATTGCAACAGATTTTATGCTTTCGTCACTGCCCATTTGATATGGCACCCTCGCATTAATCCTGATAATTTTTCAAAATAAATCTAATTAGCCTTAAAACACAAATTAAATACTTAATTTCCTAAAAAAAATTTATTAAATTGGTCTTCCAGCTGCTGAAAAAAGAAATTCAATAATTTTAAGGCTAATATTAGCCATAACTTAATTAGAAATTTTCTAACAAAGTAATTTGACATTTTATAAATAAGATAAAGCTTCTCACCGATCTCTTCTCTTCTCCAGAAAGCGGTGGAGTGATGCTTTCCTTGCAATAGGAAGATCTGTTTTTCAACAAAAATAACAACAAAATAATTAAAAATTGCTTATCTAATTTTACAAAAAAAAAAATAACTTTTTTAATTTGATCTCTCAAAGATGTCTTATCTGCTGAGCTATGTTTTACTCAAAATGTCTTCGCCCAAATTTTCTTGAGTTCTTAAGTCAGTTCTATGAAGATCAGTTATAATTTACAGATTATTAAAAAATATCATAAATTACTATATTTTATGGATAAATATTTTAAGTTTGTTGAGAACCTGAGATCACATTTCAAGAAGAAACGAACTAAAATAACTATTTTTTGTTACGCTTTTGATCTTAAATTATCATTTTATTTTTAATCTGACGATAACTGATAAATAATTATCTTTAATTACAATTAAACAAAAATAAAAATTGAATTCTAGGAAAAAAATGTGGTTGAAATAAAAATAATGGAATTAAAAAAATTAAGAAAAAGGATAATTTGTAACCAAACTATTAAATATAGTAATAACGCACATGAACGAAAAATAAAATGAGAAAGGAAGAGTCCGCACCAGGAAACATGTGCGGCTTCGGCTTCGGCTTCGCCGGAAAACTCGCGGGAGAATTAGCCGGAGCAAGGCAAGCTGGGCGATCTACGACGGCCAGATTGTTTGAAGGCATTAAAGAGAAGCTCTGATTATTAGAAACCATACCCGAGCTTCTGCTCGCTAACTGCATCAGATCCTCGGCCTTCTCAGCCGGAAAATTGTCGAAAACCAGCACCATCCCGCCGTAGAATATAGTCAGCTGCGCCTTCTCCGACGCCCTGTAAAATGCAGAGCACTCCCTGAAATCCCACAATAATAGGAGAAAAGAACACCAAATCGGCGGAAGATGAGCTGCGGCCGTGGCGGAAAGCTCGCCGAGGTATAAGTGCAAAACTGATGAAACAAATTCGCATATATTTTAAAAAAAATGTAGGATGCAGCTGTAAATTAAGGGCATACTTTGTATCGGTCGCCGGAGCCACGGATCTCGCAGGGTTTCGGACCGGAATGCCGTCCGCTATGTCGGTTTGATCGTCGCCGGAAATTTCGACGCCCGGAAGCAAGCTCATAGTCTTCCGAACTCTAAATGGCTCGCGCTTCCCTGAGAAATATATAGCATTCAAACAAAAATTAAAGAAAAAAAATCAGCAGCAATTAGAAAACAAGAAACGTAAATCACTTCGCCTAATCTAAGCAGGGAAACCAAAATTTATTTGAGAGCTATAATCAAGAAAGAATCCGACTCCCACAGAAGAGATTTCAAAGCGAAATTGGAAAAACCTCGATCTAGTAACCAAAGCAAAAAAAAAAGCCCTCTCCGATTCACACAAAAAAATAAAAAAAACAGAAGAAACCAAAACCTCTGCTACGACGCCGGGCATTCGAGCAAACGGAAAGGCCAAAAACTGGAATGAGATGTTCAAACCGATGGCCAAAAATCCATACCCAACCTACAAACTGTAATGATTTCATTTATCTTCCTTCGTAAAAAACCTACCCAGATAGCGAGAAGCCATTCCCAGGCTGAGATCAGCTGGAATACCCTTCTCCTTGATATACTGACTGAAGAGATTGCAAGTTAGGGAAAATCTCGGCTTCTCCGGCCGGTTTTCGATCTCCGCACCACTCGACATATCGTCGCTGCCGAAGTTACTCTCTCTCTCTCTCTTAAAACAAGACCAAGAGCTCAGCTTTTCGTAATTTTCCTCGTTTCTTATCATGCGCTGAAGCCTGAAGCGTCCTTATAATCACCTTGCTTGTAGAAGAGCGAGAAAGGCGCGGATTTGGAACACGTGATTCTCGATACCAAAAATAAGAATGAAAAATCATTAAAAATAGAGAAAAATTTAATGGAAATACGAGGGTGGGTTTTTCCATGGTAGTTTGGGCCAACAAACCGGCAAGCTCAAAAAGTACGATAAAAATAAAATTTAAATAAAAAAAAAAAGAGGGGCCAAACGTGTTAAGCGTTCAACAAACTATTTAAAAATTAAAAAATATATATATAAATTGGATTTAAAGCGTTCAACAAACTATTTAAAAATAAAAATATATATATATAAATTGGATTTAAAAAAAAAAAAAGAGTGGTCCCGCCACCGTCGACGTCGGCTTCGACTGAAACGAGTATATTGAAACGTTCAGAATGCGGAGGAGGCGATAGCTCCGTCGTTTCCGCAAAACAATTTCACCGCGAGCGTCGCGCTACCTTAAAAAATTAAATGAAATGGGTTTAGAACTGCATTGGGCTTAAGAACCGGAAATTTTAGAAAATTTCGGAGTGTAAAAAAAAAATCTGACCAATTAATCCGAAAATTTTGGGTTTAGTTTGATCATTTTAATAAATTGATGATCTGAAATTCTGAAATGTTTATGATATGATTCGGTTTTGGGTTGACCCGCCAACCCGATTGTGATATGAAATGACCCATTTAAATTAATTTTTCTTATTTTTTTTAATTTGTAGATATTATTATCTTATTTTTCAATAATTAAGCTAAAAATTATTGTTAAAAAGATTTTTGTTGAGTCCTAGAGTACTCGTGTCGGTAGGGAAGTATAGAGTTTAACATCTTAATGGTGTACGAAGATCCATCACACAAACAAATGAAAGAAAGAATGCAGTATTTAAAAAGACGACAAAATTTTTACATGAAAAACCTTGAAAAAGTAAAAAAATAATGGGACTTAGCCTAGTTTAAATAAATCCACTAGTATTTGTAGTTGTTTACAAATGAAGCCCTTCATTGGAGGGAAGGCCTTGACTTAATGTAACAAATATACATTATATAGAATGCGATATAAGGTAGAAATGGGAAGAATTAATATTGATAAATTCGTTTGGTCGGTAGGACCATAGTCAACGGGAGACGGAGATTAGAAAGACCGTACTAGAGTGTCGGTGGTCGGAAGAACCGTAGTCGACGGGTGACGGAGGCCTGAGGACCATTCTTGGTAGGTGACAGAGGTCGGAAGGCCCGTAATCGATGAAGGATATTAGAAGGACGGTAGTCGGTGGATGATGGAGGTTGAAAGAATCGTTGTTGGTGGGTGACGGAGGTTAGAAAGACCGTTATCTAGTGATGGAGGTCAGAAGGACCGTAGTCGATTGACAACGGAGATCAGAAGTTTGACAATGGGCAAAAGTCTGTCATCACGCAAAAGTTCAATGATGGATGGAAGTCCAACGTCAGATAGAAGTCCGACGGAAGTTTGGCGATGGGCAGAAGTCCGGTACTGGGAAGAAGTACGATGAAAGTCCGACGATGGGTGGAAGTCTGGCGTTGGGTAGAATTCTGGTGACGGGCGAAAGTTCGGCATATGTTAGAAATCTGGCGACGGACGAGAGTTTGGCGTCGGGTGGAAATCTGACGATGGGCTGAAGTCTAGCGTCAGTTGGTGGCCGGGCAAAAATTCGGTGTTAGTTGGTGGCCGGGCAAATATCTGGCATATGTAGGAAGTCGGGCGAAAGTCCGGCGACAGTTAGTGGTGGTGCTGATGTTCGGCGATGGTCAAGGAGGAGTCTGATGGCAAGAGAACTTGTCATTCTCTTCTTTCTATTATTTCTCTTCTTGTTTTGGTCCCTTCTTCCTTCCCATCTCAATGAAGAATGAGGGATCTATTTATAGTTTTCTGAGAGTGGCATGACTAGTAAATATGAGGAAAATCAATGATAAATTGATAGTGATTTGAATGTAAGGCTGATGTTGAATCCCTTGATCATGGCTCATTTATTGGACATTTGGATGTCTTAATGATATCAAAATTTCATGGTCTCGGGCTCGTTGGATTTGTCTCGTCAAACCGCTTGATACGATTATAAGAATATTATGTTTGAAAACTATTTGGTAATCCAAATTATGGATTGAAGCTTTCAAATTGGCTTCAAGCCTTTTATTTGGACTCATTTGGGCTAGGAATGATCGAATTCGGTGTTGTTGGGTTTGTATTTTCAAGATGTTCAGTTGTACTGTAAGTTTGCTGAAATCAGAGTTTAGATGGTCTCCAATTTAATTTTTGAAGTTTCCAACTTGATTTTCCTTGAGATTCGTGCCCGACAAACTTACTTTTTTGATGATATCAATTTTATTAAAAATTTTTTACAAGTAAAATGGTTTATCAAGTCTGATTAGGATCTTTGGGTTTCCTTAGATCCACATTTTTTATCCTTTTATTAATGAAGTCTTATTCGATTTGACCGATTTCAAGTCAGGTTAGATCTGTTCAATTTTCATTTCCCTAAAGATTGTTTGTTAATGTATTTGGTCATTCTCCTTTGAAAAGAGGGCATTAGAGATGAAGGTACAGCATACATCATAGTATTGATGTCGGGACGAAAGACTTTATTGATTCCCTGATCATAGGGCATTCTTTCAACATTTAAGTAACTTAATATTATCAAAATTATGAGATATTAGGCACTTTGGATTTATTTTGTTGAGATGCTTGATTTGACTATATGCATGCAAGATTTTAAAACTATTTCATCATCCAATTAATTCCTTAAATATTTTTATTACTCTTCACTAAACTCACATTGGATTACTTTTATGATCATTAAGTTTATCTCATCATGAAGTTTAATTCACTTATAAGTAATCTTTGATCGAATGGCCCTATATTTTATTTTTGAAGTTTTAAATTAAGATATGTTTTGAGATTAGTATATGTTCGAGGTGATTTTCATCGATGTATAAAATATTATTGTATATTGGTTCATTTTTAGATTAGGTTAATCAACAAAGACACCACACTAGTGTCCAATTTCATATATATAGTATGTTTAGGCTGATGTAAAGGTGCCCCTTATACTAAGCCATTAAGGCCAATGAATAAGGTTTTTCATGTCCTTCCTTTCCCCTCTCTCTTTCAAAAAAGTTCAAGAATTCCTTACAGATTTCTTAAAAGGTGGTACCAAAGAAAGGTGGAGGCTATGATCACGAGGTAGAGTAAGGTTCTTATCTGAGAAAAAAAAAGAGAGAGGTTTGCAAAAGAGGCGATTATGAGGACTCAAGCAGAGACCATCCGGATCGTATGCTGAGCACAAAGGCGCGTAGACAGGAAGTTTAATGAGCATGTGCGTGGACAAGTTGAACTTGTCTTTCTCTTCTTACTTGAGACCCTTCCTCCCCCCCCCTCAATGAAGAATGAGATGTCTACTTATAATTTTATGAGAGTGATATGACTAGTAAATAAGAGGACGATCAATGATAAATTGGGAGTGGTTTGAATGGACTGTCGATGTTGAATCCCTTGATCATGGTTTGTTTATTGGATATTTGAATATCTTAATGATATCAGAATTTGACGATATTAGGCTCGTTGGATTCATCTCGTCATTTCGCTCGATTCAACTATAAGCATGTACGTTTGGAAACTATTTAATAATCCAACTTATGGATTGAACCTTCCTAATGTGATTTGAGTATTTGATTTGGACTCATTTGGGCTCTGATTGAGTTGAATTTGGTGTTTGTTGGGTTCGTATTTTTGAGACGTTCAATTCGACTTTAAGTTTGCTGAAATCAAAGTTCATATAGTCTCCCATTTAGTTTTTAAAATTTCCAACTTGATTTTCCCTTGAGATTCGTCTCTGATCAAAATAATTTTTTGATTATATACCAATTTTATTTAATTTTTTAAAATTAAAATGTGTTATTTAGTCTGGTTATGATATTCATGTTGCCAGCGGGTTGGCTTGGGTCCATATTTTTTATCTGTTTATTAAACATGCCCTGTTCGATTTGATCAATTTCAAGTCAGCTCAGTCTTGTTCAATTTCCAATTGCCTGAGCGATTATTTGTTAGTGTGTTTCGTCATACTCCTTCGAAAAGAGGGTATTAGAGATGAAGGCCCAACATATATCCTAGTATTGATGTTGGGGCAGAAAACTTTATTGATTCCAAATATCATAAGGCATTGATTTGACATTTAAGTAACCTAATATTATCAAAATTATGAGATATTGGGCACATTGGATTCATTTTGTTAAGACGTTTGATTTGACTATATACATACAAGATTTTAAAACCATTTCATCATCCAATTAATTTCTTAAATATTTTTATTACTCATCACCAGACTCACATTGGACTACTTTAAGGATTATTGAGTTTATCACATCATGAAGTTTAATTCACTTACAATTTATATTAGATTGAATGGCTCTATATTTTATTTTGGAAATTTTAAATTCAAATATGTTTTGAGATTCATATATGTTAAAGGTGATTTTCATCGATGTATAAAATATTATTTTTTTAATAAAATATTATTATATTGGTCCAGTCTTAGATTAAGTTGATCCGTAAAGACACTATAATAGTGTCCAATTTCCTATATATATGATGTTTAGGCTTATGTAAAGGTTCCCCTCTACTAAGCCATTAAGGCCAAAGAATAAAGGATTTTTATCCTCCTTTTCCCCTCTCTCTCTCTCTCTCTCTTGCAAGAAAGTTCAAAAATTCCTTCTAGATTTCTTAAAAGATAGTATCAAAGAAAGACGGAGACAATTAAGAGGTGTAAAAAGATTCTTGTTTGAGAAAAGAGGAGAGCATTTTGCAAAAGAGGCGGTTAGGAGGTCTTAGGTGGAGACAAGTCAGATCGTGTGCTTGACACGAAGGTGCGTAGGCGGGAAGCTTGCTAAGCTGGTGCGTAGATTGGTTGAACGCACACCAGTGAAAGTGTGCACGGGCGGATGCGTGTAGGCTTGGGCAATGCAAGAGCACAGGCATACA